TCGAGTTTGGACGAATTCTTGTTGACTCAATGGCAAAAATGTAAGTGGAAGCCAAAGCAAATTACAATGAGGTTGTATATGGTAATGAAAATTAACATCTTCCTGCTCTACTACTTTAAATGATATTAAAATAGTACAATCTCGACCTTCTTATGTGAAAGTTGTTGATCCCGTCGCCATGTTCTTTCAGTCCTCAATTCATCAATTTTTGACCAGCAGATTGGATATCATTCCTCTTTTGTGTTTTTACTTTACTTACATCATTTTCAACTATTTGAGGTAAACGGTTGTTATTTTGGAATAGGTTCCCGGGATTCTGGACTACCGAACCAAACGCTGTTCATTACTGTCTTCGAGCATCCTTGAATGCCGTAAATGAGCTACGACAGGTTATCCTTAACGCTCTCCTTTCTTTGGAGGGTCTTATTATTCTTCGAATACCTCCATCTCTTCTCCCCGACTTAGTTAATATTATGACCGAACTTGGATTCAACACACACCCTCGCAAGTGAGTAACACGCCTATGACCATATTTCTTTAAGCCACTCAATTGTGGGAGCAAATGGTAACTTTAAAGTAAACGCTCAGTTTTCCTTAAAAGGATAACAAACAAATTCAAAAAACTGTCGGTTATTTTTAAATAGCAGCTAACATGTAAAGTTTAAAAAATGATCCATGTAAAATAGCAAGTTATTCTTAAAAATAAAAGAGATTGAAAAGCTGTATTTATAGTAGCACAGCATTAAATCTCTCAGAAGACTTATTTAATGCTCACTGCAAAGCCTAACAATGACACAAGTTATCTCAAGTAACGGACTGTAATCAAGTAAGTGTAACAGCATTGTTTTCTAAAAGGGCCTATTTAAATCTGTCAGATTAAGACAGAGAATCATAATCGCGAGTGTTCTTTCACAGACTTCTCTTGTTGGCAATCACGGATACTCTGGTCTTCCCCGAGGAACCCACAAAACTACGAAATTGTCCCGGGTATGCGAGCATATATAAGGTCCTCGAATGATTCCAAATTCCAAACTCTGTTTCCCATGCACGTACACACAGTTTTCATCGAACAACATTGATGACTTTTCAGATAGAGCCTTTGCTTTGAAAATTAATGCAGGTAAATAGAATAACATTTAAAAGAGAACTTATGTTAGCTCTTATCACTCATTCTGTTTTAGAATATTCCCATTTCTCGCTGACATTCAAAGTGCATCTATATATATGCGCCGCTGCCTTCGGCAGCGCTTCTCCCAATTCGCCTTCCAGTGTTTGGAGGCCTCCACTATTGCCAATGCTGCTGAACTTGATACCCTAACTGAGGTCATTGAGTGGCTTCCAGAGTTCTGGCTTCGATGTGTCACAGCCTCGACATGGAATAATTTTAATGACAACCTGACCCACACATCGGCCTTTGTTCTATCGCCCTTTAGACTTCTCGCGTGCCCGTTAACTCTTCAAGCCTCTTCCACATGGTTTCGTGAAGTCTGCGACTCCGAGGGTATCTTCCGTCGCATCGACGAATCAAATAGAGATCTTGTACGATGGCTGGTCACCACATGGCCCTGGCCAAATGAAAAACTACCGTTAGTATTCGCCCCCTTTGAGCGGTCAGGTGTCCCAGCTGATTCTATTATGACATCTTCCGCTTCCTCATCTGCCTCCACATCGATGATTATGTACGATTCCAGTGCATCTTTGCCAGCGCTGCTCTCCGCTACGGCTTCGGGCAGTGGCGCAGTAGGGAGTGGAAGGCATGTGCGTAGGATCTCACCTTGCCCGATTTCGAGACGATGATCGTACTCATTCGTTATGAGGATGTTTTATCCCTCTTCATTTAGCCAACGCAGTTCACGTGCCTTAATGTATTGTTTAGCATAAAGAAGCATTTACTATATATTCAGATGATACCGTATCATCCGATTTTCTCCCCTTAATTTTGATCTCAAGTAGAAATAACTACAATTACATTTATTGTCAAACCTACGGTCACTTCTATGACAGCCACATAGAATGCATCGCCGATGAGTGGTACATTCTTAAGGCCCACATCTACAGGTATTCCAGCATATTCTTGTTGATTAAGCAACTCTTATAATAAGGGTGAAAATTCGATTATTTATCAACGCCTCGATTGGTCTGAGGCTGTTTCCATTGATTACGCAAAAATCATCTAGAAACATAAAACAACTTATAACAACTAAGTAGTTTGTACGTTGTAGATTTAAAAAAAACATGGACATGTTGAGGTAACCGTAAAAACTTTTGATTGGCATAATTGCTGACACCGACGAAGTCTCGAGGACTTCTGTAAAGGTAACAATGGGACGCACCTGTAAGGAACGTCAGGGAACATCAGGGTCTGTCGGCTGATAACTCCCCTTTATTCAATCGGCTTTTTTCTCATTTCGATATCTTTTTCATAGGATTCATGTCGCTGTCCTGCTTGCTTTAGGATTGGACTTAAGTGCATTCTAAATGTTAGACGCCTACACTTTTGACTCCTTAAGTACAGTCGTCACAAAAATACAACGGGATTTTCGCATCTTTGTTATGGTTTGCCATCATTCTTAACTCTTAAGATAAGAAGGGAATAACATGAAGCATTACTTAGTTCGACACCCGTTTACAGGATCTGTCTATTATGGTACTCATTATAAGCGTTACTTTGCATGTTCTGCCAAACAAATAATGTATTCGTACAACCAATCTCCAGTGCTATCAAATGTCATAAATCGGTGGGATACAATCTCGCGATTCAGCCCTTTAGAGGACTTGTCCATAAAATACAACTAAAACAGAGTAATTTGTCTGTTTTACCTCACTATGCTTACCAAGTGCGTTCGAACGATAGCCAACTTTCCTCCTCCCTTAACTATGGGGGCAAGATCTTTCCACAGGTCAGTACCAAAGTAGTATCAAGAATTGAATGTCTAGTACAATTAGCCTTTTGTCCGTATACCAAGTTTGTAGTCTTGGAGGCTTTATGAAACGGGAAATCTCGAGTTCTATACATGCGCACCTTAAAAGGGACAAATTTTTTAGCAAGTGGTTTGATTTTGGTCAATGAAGCGCCTACTGTTAGGCCATCACAGATCAGTCCATCGGCCTGGAAACCATGGTATTTGAAGGGAACATTTACATGCCACGCCAATGGTAAGTAAAAAACAAGGTGACATTCCGCTGGGTTTTTTTACCTAACTAAACAGATTTAGCTACAACTTTTGCCCTTCACAATTCTGCAGGTGTGAACGATTCATTAAATTCAGACTGAATAGAGTAATATTTGGAAGTCTCTACTACTTCATTACCTCCTTTTAAAATTCACTAGAAGGCAGTAAACCATATATACTATTCAAGCGTCATTGTATATGAGGATTTTAAGGAGATAGTAAGGGACACA